CCTATGGTCAGAGCTGGAAAGGCGCATTAGAAAACGTCCCAATCCTGCAAAAAATGTGAGAGAATTGGAGTGTGCTTTACATGAAGAATGGAATCAAATTCCTAATAATACGTTAATTAATTTAATTGAAAGTATGCCACGCAGGGTTGAGGCGTGTATTAAGAATAATGGATGGCCAACTAAATATTAGTTTTGTATATGGTTTAACTAATAAAATTTAAAATTTTGACCCCACTTATTATGTACGTTTTTGAGTAATTAATAAATATGGTGTCCGCCTACTTTTTTCCAAGTAGTGTAAATATTTAAATATTTAAATTTAGAAAGAAAAAAATCAATTAATATTTCATGCATTGATTCAGCCAGAGAAAACTCCAGTTAGTGTTGTATTATTGTGATTCCAATGTAATAACTTTATTTCAATGTCATTCAAGTATGATTTCAAATCTTTTTTTTAATTCACAAACACATATTATACATGGTGCAAAGCGTGTATTTATTATCTAAATTATAAAAGAATTTGTATAAAGCTATAAAAACTTTAACTAGAAAAATTTTGCTTTGAATAATTTTTGTGACATGATTGACATCTAAAATACTAGATTTATGATGTAATGCTTACATAAGTCATCATTTGCACAAATTTTTGTATTACCTGTTACTACATAGTTTATTAATAAATACGATTTTTATTATTTGAAAAAAATTTCGTGCTTTTAAAAACTATGTTTTCTCAAAATATACCTTTGACAAGTGATAATATTTTAAAATATTTAGAAACCAATTTTACAAATTGGACCAGTGGAAATGAAAAAATTGATAATTTCATTCAAGAAAGGCAATTAAAAATTAATAACTATGATGATATAGTGCTTGAATGGATACCATACAATCAGTTTAATGAAATTAGAGAGGAAGGCAAAAATGGCACTATTACAGTATATTCAGCAATATGGAAGGATGGTCCATTACGTTATGAATATCAGGAAGGTGAATATAAAAGAAATTCAAGTAAAAAAGTTGCTTTAAAATGCTTATATAATTCACAAGAGTCCATTAATTCTTTAATAAATGAGGTATGAACTTCTTCAAATATGCAAATGCTTTTTTTTTAATTAATACAATCACAATCTCATTTATTTATATCTAGGCTAGAAATTACCCAACAAACCATCAAGCAATCCAAACACTGTATGGAATATCTCAAAATCCAGATACAGGAGATTATATTATTGTTCAAAATAATTATATATGGACAAGTGGAAATGAAAAAATTGATGATTACATTCAAGAAAGGCAATTAAGAATAAATGACCATAATGATATAGTACTTGAATGGATACCATACAATCAGTTTAATGAAATTGAGAAGACAGGCAAAAATGGCCTTACAACAGTATATTCAGCAATATGGAAGGATGGTCCATTATACTATAAATATCAGGAAGGTGAATATAAAAGAAATTCAAATAAAAAAGTTGCTTTAAAATATTTACATAATTCACAAGAATCTATTGATTTTTTAATAAATGAGGTATGAAATTTNCTTTGACAAGTGATAATATTTTAAAATATTTAGAAACCAATTTTACAAATTGGACCAGTGGAAATGAAAAAATTGATAATTTCATTCAAGAAAGGCAATTAAAAATTAATAACTATGATGATATAGTGCTTGAATGGATACCATACAATCAGTTTAATGAAATTAGAGAGGAAGGCAAAAATGGCACTATTACAGTATATTCAGCAATATGGAAGGATGGTCCATTACGTTATGAATATCAGGAAGGTGAATATAAAAGAAATTCAAGTAAAAAAGTTGCTTTAAAATGCTTATATAATTCACAAGAGTCCATTAATTCTTTAATAAATGAGGTATGAACTTCTTCAAATATGCAAATGCTTTTTTTTTAATTAATACAATCACAATCTCATTTATTTATATCTAGGCTAGAAATTACCCAACAAACCATCAAGCAATCCAAACACTGTATGGAATATCTCAAAATCCAGATACAGGAGATTATATTATTGTTCAAAATAATTATATATGGACAAGTGGAAATGAAAAAATTGATGATTACATTCAAGAAAGGCAATTAAGAATAAATGACCATAATGATATAGTACTTGAATGGATACCATACAATCAGTTTAATGAAATTGAGAAGACAGGCAAAAATGGCCTTATAACAGTATATTCAGCAATATGGAAGGATGGTCCATTATACTATAAATATCAGGAAGGTGAATATAAAAGAAATTCAAATAAAAAAGTTGCTTTAAAATATTTACATAATTTACAAGAATCTATTGATTTTTTAATAAATGAGGTATGAAATTTTTAAAAATTTAAATACTTTTTTAATTAATATATTTACAATTTCTTTTATTTACATTTAGACTAAAAAGTATCCAACAAAGCATAAAGCATTTTATGGAATATCTCAAAATCCAGATACAGGAGATTATATTTTAGTTTTTATCTGGACAAGTGGAAATGAAAAAATTGATAATTTCATCCAAGAAAGGCAATTAAGTTTAAATGACCATAATGATATAGTACTTGAATGGATACCATACAATCGTTTTAATGAAATTAAGAAAATAGGCAAAAATGGCCTTATAACAGTATATTCAGCAATATGGAATGATGGTCCATTATGTTATAAATATCAGGAAGATGAATATAAAAGAGATTCAAATAAAATAGTAACTTTAAAATGCTTATATAATTCACAAGAATCCACTAATTTTTTAATAAATGAGGTATAAAATTTCTTTAAATATTTAAATATTTTTTTTTAATTAATATATTTAATATATTTACAATTTTATTTATTTATAATTAGGCTAAAAAATATCCAACAAAATATAAAGCATTTCAAGCATTATATGGAATATCTCAAGATCCTGATACAGGAGATTATATTTTTATTCAAAATAATTATATATGGACTAGTGGAAATGAAAAAATTGATGACTTCATTTACAAAAGGCAATTAACAATTAATAACTATAATGATATAGTACTTGAATGGATACCATACAATCAGTTTAATGAAATTAAAGAGACAGGCAAAAATGGCCTTATTACAGTATATTCAGCAATATGGAAGGATGGTCCATTATACTATAAAAATTGTCTCTTATACACATCTAGATGTGTATAAGAGACAGNTCACAAGAATCTATTGATTTTTTAATAAATGAGGTATGAAATTTCTTCAAATATTTAAATACTTTTTTTAATTACTAATATATTTACAATCTCACTCTTTTATTTAGGCTAAAAAATATCCAGTAAAGCATGAAGCATTTCAATTATTGTATGGAATATCTCAGAATCCAGATACAGAAAACTACATTTTAGTTCAAAATAATTATATATGGATTAGTGAAAATGAAAATATTGATGATTTCATTCAGAAAAGACAATTAAATATTAATAAATATGAGGATAGTATAGTACTTGAATGGATACCATACAATCAGTTTAATGAAATTAAGAAAATAGGCAAAAATGGCCTTATAACAGTATATTCGGCAATATGGAAGGATGGTCCATGACGTTATGAATATCAGGAAGGTGAATATAAAAGAGATTCAAATAAAAAAATTGCTTTAAAATATTTACATAATTCACAAGAATCCATTGATTCTTTAATAAATGAGGTATGGAATTTCTTCAAGTATTTAAATACTTATTTTTTAATTAATATACTTACAACCTTTTTTATTTATATTAGGCTAAAAAATTTCTGACAAAACATAAAGCATTTCAAATATTGTATGGACTATCTCAAAATCCAAATACAGGAGATTATATTTTTGTTCAAAATAATTATATATTGATTAGTGAAAATAAAAAAATTGATGATTTCATTCAAAAAAAGCAATTAGAAATTAATAATTATGATGATACGGTACTTGAATGGATACCATACAATCAGTTTAATGAAATTAAGGAAATAGGCAAAAATGGCCTTATGACAGTATATTCAGCAATATGGAAAGATGGTCTATTATGTTATAATGAAAATTATAAATATTATACTAGGGATTCAAATAAAAAAGTTGCTTTAAAATGCTTATATAAATCACAAGAATCCATTGATTTTTTAATAAATGAGGTATAAAATTTCTAAATATTTAAGTATTTTTGTTAATTAATATATTTACAGTCTTATATTTAGGCTAAAGAATATCCAATAAAACATAAAGCATTTCAAGTATTGTATGGAATATCTCAAAATCCAGATACAGGAAATTATATTTTTGTTCAAAATGGTTCTATAAACTTAGCAAATTGGACAAGTGGAAATGAAAAAATTGATGATTTCATTCAAAAAATGCAATTAAAAATAAATGATTATAATGATATAATATTTGAATGGATACCATACAGCCAGTTTAATGAAATTAAAGAAGTAGGTAAAGGTGGCTTTTCTACAGTATATTCAGCAAGATGGAAGGATGGTCTATTAGAATATGATACAGCTAAAAATATTTATAATAGGAATCCAAACAAAGTAATTGCCTTGAAATGTTTGCATAATTCCCAAAACAGTATTACCGATGAGTTTTTAAATGAGGTATGGACTTCTTTAAAAAAATATAAGAATAGGTTTCTTAATTTTAATAATTATTTTTTGCTATTAATTTATTTAATAGGTTAAAGAATACTCAATAAATAAAGGAAGTAATGTTCTTAATATATATGGAATATCTCAAAATCCAGATACAAAAGAATGTATTATAGTTCTCCAATATGCAAAAGAAGGCAATTTTAATCATTGGATAAATGAAAATTATAAAACTTTTTAATTGGAAAGATAAAATATCTGTATTATTTAATATTATTAATGGCTTTAAAGAAATTCATCAAAAAAATATAGTTCATCGTGATTTTCATTCAGGAAATATTTTATTTTTAAGAAGTATAAATTATTTTAGTAATTATATATCAATTTCAGATATGGGATTATGTGGAAAAGTTGGTAATATAGATGAAACAAAAATTTATGGAGTTATGCCTTATGTGGCTCCTGAAGTATTAAGAGGAAAGGGTTATACTCAAGCAGCAGATATCTACAGTTTTAGTATGATGATGTATTTTGTAGCAACTGGAAGACAACCTTTTGGCAATCGTGCACATGATTATGATTTAGCATTGGATATTTGCAAAGGAGTTAGACCCGAAATAAATGAGCTAGAAGTACCAAAATGTTACATTAATTTAATGAAAAAGTGTTGGGATTTAAATCCAAGCAATAGACCAAATATTATTAAAATAGGTGAATTGATTTCATCATTTTATAAACCATATTGGAATGATTTCTTTATAGAAGATGACTTAGATATGCAATTCAAAAAAGCTGAAGAATATAGAAAAGCAAATCTTATATCCATTGAAGATTACCAAACAGTTACCCATCCACAAGCTATTTATACATCTCGATTACTTAATCCTTTTACAAAAGATCTTCTAAAATGTGATGACGATTATATTAATTCTCAAAGTTTGGATAGTTGTGCAATTCCAATTAGTTTCAAATGATATATACAATAAAGGCTATAGTATAGTATAATAAAATTTTGTATATATCTGTATACTGTTATTTTATAGGAATTTGCAATTAATACAATTAATATGTAGTTTTGTCCAACACTGTTTATGTATATGTAATATTTTTTTACATGAATAAAATCAGTTTGTAATTGGACATATTAAATATACTATTTTTCCGATGTATCATAATAAACAAATGCTTGTAGCATTAACACTTTAACGAAGCAATTTCTCAATGTGTAAATTTGTTAAATTTGTTAATATATTCTCCCTCCATTCTTTATATTCATAAAATTGTTGAACAATTATAGCACAATATTTCAAAATATTAAAATATTTTATGTAAAATGAGTGATTATATAATTGTTCAGTACGGTACGTCAGTACAGTTTTGAAAACCTGTACGGTAGAGGTCTGCAAACAGCATAGCGAACATCTCTATTTTATCACAAATTTGCCGATGAAGTATACAATAATCCAAATTTTCATTCAAAAGAACAAGATGAACTGGAAATTCCTGATGGTAAGTTCTTAAATAAATAAGATTTCTTTATAAAGCCAATAATTTGTTATTTTTTAACTTTAGATGGATTTTAAATAATCATTTAACAAAGTGTTTAAATAACCAAGATAAAAAAATAAATAAATAAATAAATGATAATAATTTGAAATATAAAAAAAAAACAAAGACTAGAGTAGTAAATTTTTTACACAAAATTCTTAGTTTGTAATTAAAATAATTTTAATAAATTTATACAAATTATTAAATGTATTTACTACCGTACATTGATTGTAAATTTATGTCATTAACATTATGAAATCATGACAGATTATTCCATTCGTTATACATGAATTTATTAAAACAAGTTGAAAGAATAATCTTGTTAGGACTAAAAAATTCTCAGTTAATTTTTATATATATTGTAAATAATAACTAGGGATACTTTAACTAATATCCATACTATTACTAGCCCTAAACTAAAAATAGATAACATCTCCAAGGCACTAGTAGTCCTAAAAACCAAATTGACTTAGTAGTAATCATAGCCCGATCCTGTAGAATTTAAATTTTAATATTATTAACCATTATTTACCAAGAACCACAAACATAATGAAACTACAACAAAAGAAAACTTGCAATCCAGGTTGATCATCTCAATATTTTTTTATTTTTTATTTTTATTAGGCAGGAATGTAGAAGCAATATAATTAAAATAATTTCAAAGAACATACATAAACTTCGTATTCCCTTTCCCTCTTGTACTTCCCTTTCCCTCTCGCATTCTCCTCTCATATTCTCTTCTCGTATTCTCCTCTCGTGTTCCCCTTTCCCTTTCGTATTCCCCTTCCCTTTCGTTCTCCCCTTCTCTTTCGCTCTCTCTTTCGTTCTCCCCCTTCCCCCGATCAATGTTGCCGCACCTCAACGTGGTGATCAGGTGAATACAAGTTTTTTAAAAGACTTGGCTAAGTCAGCAACAAAGAGTAATTACATATTACATAAGCCATAAATCTATTTAATAAAGCATGCCGCAAGTTTTAATTTTGAAATAGCCGTTGATATTAACTCACTTTCCGGAGATCCAAAGGCTATTGCAAATATTATCAGTGGAAGTATGTATATATATAAGTTATTTTTCAACAAGTTCTGTAATCAATAAACTAATTAATTAATATTTATTAGTTATACAGTAATAGGTATTATCAACATAAAAAAGAAATTATGAGTTTTTGTATATATGTATGTGCGGTACTATAAAAACACCTCGAAAAAACCCTAACCTTTAATAAACAACGTTATACTGATCTTCATATAATTCCGAATGATTTTTCAACTCTTAATTAGATAAAAAATTATATTTCACAAAATCTGGACTTGTTTCCACAAGCAATTTATACACAATTAGTTAGGTAAGGAATACCCGTGTTTATACGGCAAAAATAAGTACATCTATACAACATCGGAGATTATATCATACTCAATAATTGTATACCTTAGATAGCTTTTTATCCAAATACAATTAGAATTAGTTAGGTCTGATAGGGTAAAATAGTACAAAGGAAGAGTAAAGTATTTATTTATTATTTTTGTAATGTGCCTTTTAGTGATAAATATCACTCTGTTATAGGGTTTTCATGTGATTTGCACAGATGGCTCACGTGTCTTGTATTTTGGGATCACTATAATTTATATATCCTAATAAAGGCGCATTACAGTTTAAAAAAAAAAAAAAAATATCATACTCAATAACTACATTATCAGCAAAAACGATCAAGAAACATCCTTTGGGCAAAGGAGTTGAATGAAACTTTAATCAAATCAAGACCATGGTTGATGAAATAAATCAATACATTAAAATGCCGATGTAACTTGGAAGTATCATACTCACAACATTCGTTATTTGAAATAAATAATGTAACTAGTTCGATTTAAATTTGTTAGCATAACATTTTAAAGCTTTTCAACAATATATGTTAGGATGGACCATTTCAAATGAAATTTTCCTTAATAAGAATGCTATAAAATATAATGTCATTTACTATACTTAATTACTGTTGCATTATTCTTTAAAGAATGTTAAATAACAAAAGAAAACAATAAATTTTGAATTTATAAGTTAGATTCTTTTATTTTTTTTTTATTTTATTATTTTAATATATTTTAGCTTTATTTCTTTTTGCCCAAATTAAATTTGGATTTAAAAAATATTTATATCGCAAAAGTAATAAAGTTTGTAACTTTATTGTTTAAGTTTTAATATGTATAGTGAAAAAATGGGTAAGTTAAATATTTGCAAAAAAGTTACAGTATATTGATATTTTCGTGTTAACGTTAATTTTTTTTTTTTTTACCCTGTATCGGCTACATGTTTTATATCATGGCCAATCATATTTTGTTTATCTAGTAATCGATCAGCCACGTGCCACAGGGGAGAAGCAAAATTTGGGTTTAATCCAATCAGCTAATTCAATACTAGATTGGTTTTTGACCAAAATCTATTTTTTCCCGGTCTTTAGATAATTTGGTCTCATGCTAGCTTTAGTAGAGGCCAATTTTTGCCAGTTCAGCATAAAAATTTCAGATGCAGATCTTTTTTTCTATAATGTCAGGACCGAATAAGATTTTTTTTTTTTTTTTTTTTTTTTTTAAAAAAAAAACTGTAGTGCATCTTTTATTAGGATTTAGTACATAAAGTATCCTTATTAACGAGATACGTAGAGCCGAACGTGCTAAACACGTCAACCCTATAACAGAGTAATTTCTGACTATTTAACTAAAAGACACATTACTAATAAAATATAAATAAAAACAATACCTAAATGAAATACCCTATACTAGACCTAACTAATAGACTAAACTAAACTAAGAATTACGTAGGAGAAAAAAGAGAAATATGTAATAATGCTAGGTCTACATCGTGTAGCTGAAAAGATGGGTCCCAACGGTCCCACACCTAAACAAATTTATCCCATCGTTTCCTCCTTCATTCCTACAAAAATAAAAAGTTAGTACGAACTAATCTAAAATAAGATAAGAAAGCTACAACTATGGTTTTCAAATGTATTTGTTATCGGAAAAAATTTTTTAACGTTAATCACGTGACTTCGATTTATAATTGTAATCTTCTATCTAATATTTTCTTTTCCTCGTTTCACTTCTTCTTATTCTTATTCTTCTTCTTCTTGTCCTTATTGTTCGTTGCTGACTTGTTGGTTACCGGCTCTGTGTTTCCATTCTCCTTTTTTGTCGCTTCTTCGTCCATTTCTTCTTCGCTCTTGACACTCGTGTCCTCGTTGATTTCAACTAATACTGACTTACGTTCTGGAGCTGATGGTGATTCTAAGATCGGCCTTTTATCTCCTGTTTCTTTTTCGTCTTGGTATCGGTTTACGTCTTCGAGTCTTTTTGTGAAGCCATCGTTCAAAGAAGTATAATGTGGACCGAATAAGATCGAAAGCTGAGCATCTTTATATCAGTAGGAAGAACAGTCACACTACCAGAACTCGAAAGTACTTGTTTCTTTCGTTTTTTCTTGCGGAAGGAGGCGATACTCAACAGGGACTTCAATACTTTTTCCATTCCAATATATAGCGTTTGCAGATGCAAATATTAAATCAATATATGAATAATAAAAATCATATTTTTTTTAAATTTACTATTTTTTTTATTTTTTTGAGATTCAATATCTTATGGGTAAATCTGACAACTTTGTACTGTAGTTATCTTGGCGATGTTATCATAGATAAGGAAGATAGAACGTGTCATGAACTTCAAGTATTGTGAATTTGCAAGTCCCGGGAAATTTTGCACGAGTCTGTAGATCATACATTTTCCCTATTAAAAATTCAAAAAAGAAAAAAAGATTTTTATCTATTAAAAAAAAAATTCCAAAATAATTAAAAGAATTTCTATATCAACTTTCTCCTATTAAAAAAAAATCTCAATGATTTTTTAATTACTGTATTTATTTAATATACATTATTTTTTTTTCTCTAAAAAAGTGGATATTATCAAAGTGTGATATGATTAAAAAACCCAGACGCCATACGGTACACCGTATGATTTTATCAATCTTAAAGTTGGCAAGAAAATTAAAATTTAATTATTTTGGCATTTCGATTGGTCAAAGTGGTTAAAATTGTTAATTTTGTTGATTTTTATCAATACAACCATAGGGTCTTGTAGTTTACGTTGTTATCCCTATAAAAAATTTTATCCGTTATTTCTGTAAAAATGAGCATTTCGCAAATCTATTCACGGAAGTATAAATAATTCGATAAATTCCGTGATATAAGGTTAATTAATTCCGGAAATAAGGTGGAGATGACTCATTTCTTGGACAACTTGCAGCTCTTTTCGAGTGTACGCACATCTGGATATACCTGTCGTTCATTTGGTCCGTTAAGAAGGTATGTAGGGGGCTGTTCGGGTGAAAGAATCATTTTTTTTATTACACGAATATTTGGGTCCCATCTTATGTCGCCTGAGCCTTAAGATACTTCTGCTTCAACTTTCTTTATGACAACAAAGTTTTACACTAAAATTAATTGCATTAAGCTAGAAATAAGTGAATTAAAACAGCTTGAAAAAATTCTCTCCTGTTATTTATTTTTAAATATGATTAACAAGCAAGAGAATTATTTATTATATATGCGAAAAAAAAAGATAAGAAAAGTTAATATGGATTTATTTCATAATATGAAGGTGCAGATGAATATATTATAGAAGAATTATAATATCCTGATCAAAAGAAAAATAATCTATAGTTTATTAATTTAATGTTATCATCATTTTCCCTGAACTCAAAAAGGAGAAAATCCACTTTTACGTTCAAAAAATAATTATCTCCATAATAACATTTTTTTTTGCATTATAAATTGTATTCTTGATAAATTCAATAAATTCATCAATATCATAATTCCAACTGGTCCATCCTTCAAGAGGAATACATTTTTTCCATAATGTGTAATATTCTTTAATATTTCGTTTTATGTGCTTGTAAAAATAAAATAATGCTTATATAATATAATCCATCTTTTAAATAATAAATTTTAGAAGAAATTCTATTACTAATGTTTTTACATTTTATTTTTCATAACGAATGGAGTTATGGAGTAGTAAAATTTATTAAGTTTAGTGACTGTAGATCATCAATCACATGAAATTTTGACTATTTTAAAACTTGGTCCTATTATTATTCAGTCATGGATTTACTCTATTAAAATCAAAATTAATGAAAGATAATAATATTATATAAACTTTTACTAATTATGGAGATAATACGATCGACCTCTCTCAATATTTAATTTTCTTTATTCCATATATTCATAAAAAATATTTTTTTATTATTATTCTTATTCTTTTAGTTAACTTTTATAATCAATATATATAGACAATTTAAAAATAAGATGTAAAAAAATTATCAAAATTTATCGTATATTATTGCTTGCAAAATAAAAACGCAAAAAACAAAAAAAATAACTAGACGTTTAATTAATTTAACCTATCCAAATGTTAATTTTATATAATATTAAAACCCTACAATTGTTCTATAAATTTTAATTTACTAAAATTACACAAATCTCGATATTTTTGAATTTTAATATTATATAATTCAAATTCCTTCACTTCATCTTTAAATGAAAACAATTCTATTTTAGAAGGGAAATTAATGATAGCCAAATATTTGACTCTTTTCTTTTTCATAATATATTCTTTTATATAAGATAAAATAAAATCATAAATATCACGACCTTCCTCATCATCTTTAATTCTCTTATTCTTAATTAACAATTTTTTAATAAAAGTATTCTGAGAATTTTTTAAGAACATTTCAAAATCATTTTTATATTTAATATTAAGAACTAAACTTAAATATTCTAATTTAAGAGGAAGTAATTGACCTAAATTTTGTAATACAATTGAACTAAGTTCAATAGAATTTGAATAATTATTATTGCTAAAGATATTGATATAAAGATGATTAAGATTTTGTTTTACATTCTCAGTTAAATTTAATAACGAATAAATAATCTGAATATTATTAATAATTGCAGTTAAATATAGAAATTTAATATTTTTACAATATTTAATAATTAATTCAAGTAATTGTTGCTCCTCAGATAACGAATTAGAACCAGATGAAAATCCAAAATTTTCTAAATAATCACCATGCTTTTGTATTAATAATAGTAATGATTCATCAATTTGTAATTCATTACTATTTAAGAATAAAGATTTTAACTTAAATGGTTTAGTTGAGTTAATTATTTGTTGAATAAAATCAGTACCTAAAATACAATAAATGATATGAACAGATTTTAAAACATTTAATTGTTCAAATATGTTGTCTAAATTGGTTATAATTTTAAAATTGATGTTATACAAGACGATTGTATTTAAAGTATTTGATGAATGATTATAATCTTTTGATAACAATGATGTTTGATATATAAGAAAACTATTATTAAAAGCTAATGAAATTTTTTTAAGATTTTGACATAAATTAATTATTTGATATGTAAGATTTTTAGTATGATTAAGTAAGTCATCATAACAATTGAATTTTAAATTTCTAATATTATGAAGGAAATTTGGGTTTTGCAAAATTAATTCAAGCATATCATCTATATAGGAAAAATTGACCTCAATATCAAAAGTATGTATATTTACTTCATTTTCAATAAATATTTTAAATAATGACATGTGAATTAATCTCTTAAATTCAAAAATTGATCTATTTTCGAGTTCAACATCTTTAGACCATTCTTCAATAGAAGAAATGATTTTCTCTATATACAAATATTTTAAATAAATGGGATAATTAAAAAGTGTATTTGAAGGAAATAATTTATCATCAATTTTATATTCATTTAATTGTGCTTTTAAATCATCACTTAAATTATGTAAATAAATTCCAATAAAGTTATAATTTTCGTTAGGAATTAAAAATGGATTTTCCCATAATAATGGAATCGCTAAACGACACCATAATCTATTAACTAATATACACGAATGTAAAGTTGAAAAATCATTCTTAAAATATTTTATAATATCATATACTAATTCAGGTAAATCTGAAAATATTTTTGAATATGACATATTTGTAAGCGAAGAGAAGAAATAAGGAGGTATTATTAGTGTATTGCTTACATTAATGTAATTTCCGGTATTGTCGCACAATCCATGTGGTGTAACATGCTCAATAATAGGGCGCAAAAAGGTATTATGTAATTATGTATCACGATGATGATCACAGCAATATAGCAATATAGCAATATTCAAATATCCATATTTTTAAATCATCCTTTTTAATTCTATCTATACTTATTTGACGTTTCATACTCAAAAATTTTAAAATAACCCTTTTTAAAAGAATTCAAAAGTATGAAATAGAATACGCTATGATCACAGGTTCATACGCAGATCTTCATCAGTCATAATTATAAATTTTTTTATCGGTATATTACTTTTATTATTTCAATTTAACTAAACCAAAAAAGATATAAATTTAAAAAAAATTAGTAATCCTCATTCTAGATGCATTAAGGTCATAATATATATTTAACATTCATTGTTAAATGTATAATACAATCTAACAGCTGGTCATATTTACAAAAATTGAAATAGAGTTCAAAGTAACAAAGAGATTTTGACTGTCTTTTTAAATTATTTAGAGATCATGTGCTCGACAATTGTTTATTAAAAAAAGATATACTGTACCAATCTTTCTAAAAAAAAAATCAATTATGCTGATTTTTAATATTAAAATGGATTTTTTAAAAAAAATAGTATGATTTTTTTATTCAATAAAGAATTTTTAATGATACTTTTTCTCATTTTAAATAATAATTAATTTTAATTTTAAAATAATTTTTAAATTAATAATGTTATTGTTATTAAATGAGATTGTAATAAAAAACATACTATATTTATATATTATCTTTTTTATATTTGGAATTAAATTATTATTAATTTTACCATTATATCAAAGAAATTCAGTATAACACAAAAATCATTTTATTGTAAAACAAATGATGACTATTTAATTAATTAATATTATTTAAAAAATATGATTACATATTAAATTACTAGTCGGTAGCCAATTGCATTTATGTAAATTATGGATACAGAAAGTAAATGATTTATTATTGTTTTTGGTAGAGAAGCTGATTTTATTCAAAAAATCATTTGTCAGTAAAAAATAAATCATAAATACCACTATTATTTCTTTTGTCCATTCAGTGATATCTTTTATTCCAAAAGATAATTCTGTACTCAAATGGGTTCCTATGCTTGAAGCTGAAAATTTACAAAAAATTTGTCATTTATTAGTTTTTAGTTTTAATAGCTATTTTTTTATTTTTTAAAAAATGATATGTATATATTTTTTTTTTTTGAAAGAAAAATCGCCTACAGGATTAAAAATAAAAAATTTCGAATTTTTCCTTTGTAAAAAATTATTGATGATTTCTTTGTTTGATACTACAATCAATTATAAAATATACTATTAATTTTTATCAATTTATAGTGAAAAATTCCAGGTCAATTTTTGTTGGGACATTTCAACCTGGCCATTTTTTATTAAGATACTTCTAAATTTAGAATATTTTTTGAGTAAAATTTTTTACTATAAATCTATTATCTGTTATAGTAATAATATTCATGCGTTTTGTAACGATTAACATTAATATATAAGATTGTTAGAGCACTACAAAAAAGAAAGGCTTTCAATATTCAATATCTGACATCTTTTATTAAATAAATTATTCCGAAATAAAATCAGTAATTCTACAATTTACTGTATATTTTTTTTTTTATCGGTAAATGTTTATCATAAAAAAACGATGAAAAAAAATAATAATTGAAACTTGATGACTTAACTGCGAAGTGTAACAAAGGATTATACTGTCGTTCCGTCCGTGAATCAAATCTATCAGGAGGTTCCCATATCGGAGTTCTAAATACATTTCGATGATCTACTGATGACGTGATGTACTGTATATACAGTGGTGTGCAAAAAAAATGACAATTTTTTTGAGTAATGATCAGCAGGCATAACTTATCCGATTTTAGTCGTATCTACACAAATAAATATGCGTATGAAAGCCCCGTGATTACTTTATTTTTTAACGAAAAATTTTTTTCCATATATAATAAAATTGTATTTTATTAACCGTATAAAATGCCACTATCTAAGCAAGAAACTCAAAGACAAACGATATTACAATTCTGGAGGCAAGGAATACGTACTGCCGCCAAAATTCATTCTTTGACAAAGATACCACTTAGGACAATATATAGGAACCTTAAAAAAATCAAAAAAACCGGAGATGTGAAACATAGAGGTGGCAATGGACGTATTAGTAAAATAACGCAAAAGGCTGCTCGTGAAATTGGACAATATATTCGAAGAAAACCCACAATTACCGCCAAGTTCATTGCTGCCAAATTGGAAGATGTTGGTGTTAACGTCTCTCGCTCAACAGTTTCAAGGTATTTGACCAGTCACGGATACAAAAATGCACTCCCCCTTGCTACACCAATGCTTACTCCAGCCCATAAGCATAAACGTATTGAATGGGCACAAAATCACATGAATGATGACTGGCAAAATACTTTATTTAGTGATGAGACAGCTTTCCAGCTATTCCGCAACACAGTAAGACATTGGTATAAAAAACAACGGCCAATTCGTCCCATACCAAAAGACCGAAGTAAAATTTTTGCATGGGGTGGTTTTTGCATAAGAGGTAAAACAAGTCTTTTTTGTTTTAGGGGTATAATGGATGGAAAATTTTACACAAAAATATTAGAAAGACAAATTCCAGAGGTGTACAGTATGTTAGGAGATAGTTGGCGGCTGCAACAAGATAATGATCCTAAACATACTAGTCGGGTTGCTAAGGAATTTCTCAAAAATAATGTCCCAGAGGTTATGGACTGGCCATCCAATAGTCCAGATCTAAACCCCATAGAAAACCTTTGGGCAATTGTTAAGAGAAATACAGAGTTGCGTAGACCAAAAAATCTTAATGAATTAGATGTTTTTTTGCATGAAGAATGGGTAAAAATTCCAAATAACCTCCTAATTAATCTTGTAAATTCAATGCCGCAACGTTGTAGGGAGGTTATTGACAGAAATGGTGAACGAATACCATATTAATTTTTTTTAATAAAGTCTACTATGTTTTAGCTTTAAAATAATACTTTTTATTTTTTGATTGGTTTATTGGTTAAAAAATTAACGTGACTTGAAAAATTGTCATTTTTTTTGCACACCACTGTATTAAGTTAAATATAATTACTCATATCGGTCATATGAATAAAAGTTACTCACGATGTGAGTTTCGTCATGACTCATGTGTAATTGAGTATAATATAAATATATCTAAATACCTTAAATCTTTTTATCTTCTTTTTTTTTCGTCTCTTTTTTAGGTCTGCCTTTTCTCTGTCTAGGTCTTCTCTTTATTAGGTCTTCTCTTAGGCCCCTTTTCTTTACGTCTTCCTTTAGGTATGTGGGTTGGGAGTGCGAGTTTGTGTGTGGGTGGTATGTTTGTGTATTTCCTCCTTCGTATTTTCGTTCTCCCCTTTCCCTTTCATATTTCCCTTTTCCTTTCGTTCTCCCCTTTTCCTTTCGTATTCCCCTTTCCCTTTCGTATTCCCCTTTCCCTTTCGTATTCCCCTTTCCCTTTCGTTATTCCCTTTCCTTTAGTAATCCCTTTTCCCTTTCGTATTCCCCTTTCCTTCCCCCCCTGATCAATGTTGCTGCACCTCAACGTGGTGATCAGGTGACAACAAGTTTTTTAAAAGACTTGGCTAAGTCAGCAACAAATAATAATTACATATTACATAGGCCATAAATCGTCAACGTTGATTTTTACCTATATACACCGGTTAACTCCTAAATTTTTTTAAGCATATTTTAAAAAATTTTTTTTTTCATTTAAAATTTCATCTTACTGTAACTTATGTTCAACATTTTCATAGCCATTTCTTTCTATTATACGTAGTACAGTATTCAGTATACTTGCTCTTGGCCAGATATAGTAATAACTTATAACTGTTTCTCCTGAACACCACGTAGAGGTGGCAAGCTTTATTCAGGTTACCTGTTACAACCAATTTATAAATAATGAAATATGGGAAGAAAGCTACAAAAAAAGTGATTTTGATTTATTAAGAAAAACTAGAGTAAATTTTCTTAATCGTAATTGGGCATTTTGACATGGTCTAAATGACTAAAATTGTTATTGTTAAAAAAAATACAATACAACTGTTAAGAGAATTCAAGTGTTCCCAACCGTTCTTTTCTTTATAATAGAAAAGTGTTTAAAGTGGGTCTCACATAATTTTCTTATGTTATCATGAAACATATCAATAAGTAATAGTTATCTCACGAGATGCAATATTAGCAAAAAAGAATTTTTGTTTCACAATTGGCTACGTTTCAACAATTTCGTTTTACAAAATGACAAAACAAATCATAAAATTTGTAACGCAGTAGATTCGTTTTCTTCCAACAAAAAATGTGTATAAATATTTTTATTTTATTTCTTTTTTAATAAAGCATTACAAAAGGAAAAGGAAAAACTATGTTCAAGATTTTTTTTTATAGTTTTTTTTTTTTCAAAAAAAAACCAAAAAAAATAATGGTAATTGTATATTTCGCTACTAATATAATTTTTTCGTATTTCCATTGGCTTCTCTTATTCATTTTATTAAGAAAGATACTATTTAAATTCAAAGTTATTAAACTATCTTAATTACATATATGCACATTTAAAATAATATTCATCCGAAAAAATTAGTAATATAATTATTTTTCTTTTTTCATCACTTTATACAAAAATTTTTAAAACTTACTTATTGTCGCAATCTATTAGAGAATATGTTATCCATTTGAATATTCAATAAATTATAATAAACATTCTTTCATTAATATGCCGTAAATCTGTATTATAATGATAGTAGTAAAAAATGTGATACCGGTGATAGAGAAGAAGAAACTGTTCAGTCGTAATTGATGATATTGTAAAGATCTATAATTTCTCTTATTTTATTATTTATTTAGTCTTTAATAATATAGTTTTTATCTT